GAGAAATTTCCCTCAAACTTCCAGATGTTATATATCATAAAAGGGTAGAAACCGTTCACCATCTAAAACATTGTTTATCAAACATCACATTTCGGAAACACCAACATCGAATCAATCACCAAACATCATTATTGCAAATGTCGTCTTGTTGTTTAAATAAGTTTCCAAGATCACATTAATCATTGGCTGAGCGATATTTTCAATGAAAATAATACACTCAGAGAAAATAGTAACTAATGCAAAACGGCTGTCAATTCAATGTGATCTCAGTAACTTGAATTACAGCATCTCGAAGTGATATCGAATGCTGAGGTGATGTATTGTTTCGTAATTAATGTATTAAAAGGGAAGTGAATATTTAATCTGTTGAGTAACATGCTGACTGATATACGAAACAATCTTCTAATAGTCACTCGTAGACGTTAATTGTGGACATTTAATGCTGGTTGAAAGTGATAATTCATCAAGAATGAACAGCGAGCGCATTTCCCAATTAAGCGTCATCGATACCATATGGCCAATGCTCATTTTGGAATGCATTTACCTAGTCGTAATGGTCCCCTTATGAGACTTTTAGCTAATGACATTTAACGAGCATGCCTTCTCGAGGTAATGGATCCGGACAGGAAATTCATTGACATCATCGTGACAGACTAATAGATCAATGTGATATGCTGCCTGCGTAAATTATACGACAGCAGGAAAATTGCGAGCGACCGAAATTAGATCGGCTATTAGGAATACTGAGTGCTTAATTGCTTAAACACTCAACTGAACAGTGGAATTGTTCATTATTCGAGGGTATTCTTGAAATCTTGTAAGTTATTCTGGATAAACCAGGCACTGATTGCAGAATAATTTGCTGATGAAACAGACGTCTGTCATGGTGTATCATATTACATGTTTTATGTGGTCTCTCGTTGCCCGTCTTATCCGGTAACTTTATATTGTGTTCCTCGATCAATTCGGAGACGGTATGAATGGCTGAAAGTAAACAGCCGTTTGGGTGATTTACTGCAGTTTTCACATACGCATTAAGATAACGTCAGTAAATTAAAACGTAGGACATCGCACTGTCGATTTGAATGATAATCACACATTTCAAACCCTTCCAGCAGCAAACGATTGTGGTTTATTTAGAACTCTAAAATATAAAATTTTGCTTCAGCATTATTATTTCTATTTGAAAGTTCTCATTTTGGAATGCACACAAACGTTCGTTAAATTCAAGTTTATCATTAACATCACTGCCCCATTCCTAGGTGCTTTTAGAGTTTCACCTTTAAAATATAGCAAGTATTAATAAGAGGATGCTGAGATGTCCGTTGCTCTCAATTGCAGTGATTGTGACAGATCAATGTGTTTAATGTTAGAAGGATATAAGCGAAGACAAACTCATGAAGAGATTTAATGCGAAACCAATAGACTATTGTGAATTGCGCTCTTATCTCCATCTCAAAATGTTACTATTATGATTGCGCAGCAGATTTGGTTTTAATGAGACAAGTGAAAGATCTTTAAATGTATAGATGTTATTGGCGCAGTTTTCTTGTAAAGCTGTCAGATTTATCAACAGAATAGTTCATTGCGTTGCACATCGTTTATTTCAGACAAAGTGTTTGTTTACCATTAGTGAAAGCATCGCAATTGATCAATGACCGCGTTATGCGCTCTCTAGCAACATGGATGTTTTGATTCCGAAGTGCTCTTAATTATGCCACTAAAGCCATACAATCTCAGCAACACCGTCTTGAAGACAACTCATTATTATTTCAGTTCTAAAACAAACTTTTAGGGCTTGTGAAATGAGGCAGTATTTGAAGAAATACATCTTTTACACAATAAATCATGCACTTCTCTCTATGATAACTCATTGTTTCAAGAGCTCCCCTATTCGGTTTTCATCATGTTTGATCGTAGTTAACTGCACTTAGCAGTTTAGTATGATCATTTAGCAAGTAATAAAATTCTTCTAGTTTTTCTCCTTCCTACGGAAATGCTTTTGATCCTGAATTGCATGAGACCTGTGATAACTGCATGATGAGATTGTTTTGATAACACTTTTTGTGTTGCAATGGATGAAAAAATTTTACCTTAGTTAAGTGACGAAAGAAGCTAATTGTGAGTATGAAGATGCATATAAGTGCGAATTCAAGCGAATCTTTATAAACATCTATAATGGATGATATTCGGTTGTTGTTGCTGGAACGAAGGATAAAATGAAATAAGTATCAATTACGCGTCGTTCATCGGCCAATTGCGAGTAGTCAGTGTTCGAAATCAGCTCATAAATAATGCACATTCACATAAGACACGAACAAGTGAGTGTCAAACGAACAAGCCCCCAAACAAAGCCTCACCAACCCAAAACACAGCTCATCAATCAACCTTAACCGGACTGTTTGGATGTTCTGATCTGTTACTCACTCACTCATCAGAAATCCAACAACCCTCATCACCATAAATAATGAGACTTATAGTTATTGGCTCCTCCGTGTAAATTTCGTGTAGTATATTCGAAAACGAAATTTCAGTGGCTACTGAGCAAAGTGCGATATTATTTAGAGGGATTCGAATATTTTGATATAATTATGAAATGCCCTAAAATGAATGTGGATAAAAAGAGTCATTTGATCAATCATGATTTGATTTCTTGAAAACAATACAAAAAACTCTTTATACATTAATCATCGCAAGACAAATGGATTGATTAAGCATAATGAAATGAAACAATCTCAAATAAGTGCACCAATTAAGCAGAATTCAAAGGGATATTTGAAATACGCAAATTGATCATTGCAGGCTGAATTGTCACAAACACTGCAACTGTTGAGCGAGAAGGCGAAGCATGCCACCGAAGATATTTCGAAGTTAAAGCAAATGAATGATAAAGTCAACGTGAGTTGTTTTGAACATTTGTTTTGCGTAATACCTGGTCAATGAATGATGATTAATGTACTGACGATGAGCTCATATCATTTCACTATTTTACGTCCTCTGCTACTGGACAAGAAACTTATCTAGAGCTGTTTCTACTTTACAAAAGTGATCTGAAAGTCAAATTACTCGATCAGTAACTCATTGGTATTGCAGATGAATTGCTCAGATTTCAAGCAGAACATCACGGTTCAAATCGATGCACTTGTTGAGCAATTACTACAGAGGAAGGAGAAATTACTGCAGTATGCGGATGACGAATGTGAATATAAGGTAATCTATTATATTTCTAAGAACGTGCTTCTCGAAGGTCTTGAATGTAACGTTTTTTGGGGAATGTTATATTGTACGCTTTCGTTTCTTTGAATCCAAAATGTATGAAAACGACTTTAATGTATTTTTCCATCGCTTATTACTCATTAAATAATGTTTTTAAAATTATTGCAATCATGTATTTCGATATATGGCGAAAAGTTGTTGTTGTTGGAAAATTGTATCGAAATTTATTTTTTAGAAACGTATCTTCAAAGATCAAATTTCTCGATGTACCGGAAAGCTGTCGAAAACCACTGCATTGATACAATTCTGCATCGAAATCCTGAAGGAGCCCGATCCAGCAACATACTTACAAGTCAGTATTTCGGCAATTCTCGCTTGATGATCTCCTGAATTGCAGCTGTGGAAATCTGGAGTTTTCAATGATCTTGTTCGTATCTCTTTGAGTGAACGCAGAAATCTGCTTTAAATCAAGTTGGTATTCACAGTAATGTATTATGTTTCATATGAAAGTATCTTTGCAGGTAAGTAGCGCGCTTATTAATCGCACCACAACGCAAGAGTTTATGTGGCATAAGGAGATGCAAACGAAACCCGAAGCAGATGCTGAATTCGTGTTGAATCTTGACACGAAGCATTTACAGTACGCAATTCAATCGCTTGATTTCGCCCAGCTCAAAGGTAACGTCAACTTCTTCGATCGAAGTTTCTTGAATTGGCGCTGTTCTAAAAATTTAAATATTTTGAGTCGTTCTGAGCGTTTTCAAAGTATCAAACACAACTCTCTGGACGGAGTGAACAGGTTAACACACATGTTTGAGAACCAGCAAATGTGCTGTTAGCAAACATAATTCCCACTCAGAATTAATAACCTTGTGCAAATTGTTGTCGTTTGAAGCAATTTTATCATACATGAAGTATTCATCGCCAGCTGTTATCATTTCTTGCAAGTGAATGTGTAGAGCTTAAATTGATATTAATGTCATTAGAAAATTCATTGCGTAAGATCTAGTTTCAGTGATAGAAATCTCATTATTTAAACCATAGATCCTAGAGATTAGGTAGAAATTCATAAATTTCACGAAACGTTGGCTACGAGACCCTCTGAACGGAGTCACATTCCCCGAGCTATCAACTTCTGTCATAAAGTGCCAATGAATAAGCACCAATTCTTATTTTGGATCAAATACAATACGTCCAAGTCATCACATTCTTTAAATGACATTGTCATCTGAGTCTGAAAATTCTTCATAGATCTGAAAATATATTTTGCTTTTAATCGACCATCAAAAAATCGGGACATTAGCCCTTCCTCAGAATAAGTAACTATATAAAAGAATTGACTGCAACCGAGAAACGGTCTCATCTTGAGTTCTTTAAAAAAAGTGAAAACAAAATTCAACCAATTCAGGACGCAGAATAATCAGAGTAAACGGCGACGCAACCAAAGGTATACTAGAATCCGTAACATGTCTCACCGTGACAGTGCAGTTTGTGACACATATAACAGTTGTTGTCTCTATATCTGTCTCGAGAACACCATCGCGCACCATTTTTCATTCACATTGCATGTTGAATACTTTAGAAATTTTCATTCACTCTGAAAATTTTATTCGCAGCAGTAATTTTTCACTCCGTAAATAACTCAATCGAAACTGTCATTAAGTTTTGTGAATTCATTTCAATTTTTTCTGTTGTTACCTTGCTATTCTGAGTTTGCAACTTTAAGTTCCTGTCACAAATTGCCTTGATCATTTGGTAATTCTCTGGGAATTGGAATTTTGCAATTATCGCCTCATATTAGATTTGATCCAAAATCGCCTTTTCCAAATGTTTCCGTTTATCACTTCTCATGGGTTTTGGTCATGTTTGCATCCATCTTACATATTTTATTTCCGTTCCATCCAGAACGAGTGCATTCGATCATCATCCAGTTTTCATTTCAAGCGCACCTTTCTGATATTGTATCTTGATTGTATCTCACTGTATCTTGATCATCACACATTCCACTGTTCTGCTCATCACGCCTTCCTAAGGCCATACTCCTGATTGCAGTTCCAACTCCGCCAATCATCGACACTTCGGAATGTGCTGCCGAAAATAATTCCGTGACGATCGTATGGCGACCACGTAATGACGGCTGTGCAGTGGACGGTTACGTACTTGAGATTGATTCAGGATCTGATGACGGAGTTTTTAAGGTATAAATTGACAATGGAGCAATGCAAACTTTTAATAAAGATCTTCATTCTTCGCTATTGTTATTTGGGCATCTATTCTTCCGAAAATTGCAATTCCTTATCTCGTTTTTGGAATCTCGAACATGGAATCTCGTTTTTGAAATGAAGATTTCGGCATGAGGCTTGATTCGGTTATTAATTATACGGTCTATTGCAGGAAGTGTATTGTGGAGCAGATACCATTTGTACAATTGACGGTCTGCATTTTAACACGGTTTATAATGCTCGAGTGAAAGCTTTCAATTCTGCTGGTGAAAGTTTATACAGCGATATCATTTGCCTTCAAACTGCCACTGGTTAGTAGTTATAAGCTTATATTTCCAATAATGATTAGCATGAATCAGCTGATATCATTAAACGATCATAATATCGATACATTTCACACTGTGGGCTGCATTCCATAAAAAATCTGAAAAATTGCCTTTTGCGACCAGCTTCGTACGGAATGAAAAATTTCAGTGGCGTGGTTTCAACTGAGCAAATCGTCCTCTCAACACGATATACACCTATCGAACGAGTGCATGTCCGTGACGGCAAGTTCAATGGAATACCGTTGTATACTCGGCTCAATAGCCTTCTCGAAAGGTGTTCACTATTGGGAGGTGAGCGTCGATCGACACGATGGCAACGGTGATATCGTCGTTGGTGTTGCTCAGCCGTCTATCAATCGGCAAACTATGCTTGGTACCTTTTTTGAATCTCTTCTCACATATTCCAGATCTGTGGTTCGTGTTGAAATGTTCATATTTTACGTCAGCATCGTGCTTAGATCTAATCTTGTTTTGAAGCAATCCACCNTTTAGGTAAAGATCTTCATGGATGGTCAATGTATGTGGATGGTGAACGCTCGTGGTATTTACACAACGAGACGCATCACAGCCGTATTATTGGTGGTGTTCGTGTGGGATCCGTGATTGGCATTCTACTGGACTGTGACAAAGGAACTCTGTCATTCTACATCAACGATAGACATCGAGAATTCGAAGGGAATCAAATTGCATTCAGGTAAACATCTCATTATTGAGCCATCAATTCATTCGTCACACAGTCCGTATGGATCTTTTAACAAGATAATCAAAGATGCCTGAAATTATGTTGGTGCTACCTCATTGATAAAATTATAGCACTTAGGATTAATGGTTGCTTATTTTGGAGAGCGCAATGAAACTGTGGTCAATTCTGAATGAAAATTTTCAGGAATATGCCACGAGGACTGTATTATCCAGCATTTAGCGTGAACTGTAATGCGCTGATAACAGTTCATACGGGACTTGCACCGCCCGGAAGTTCGAGTAGCAGTGAGTGTAACAGTGATGGTGAGAGGAGCTGAATGGCTTCAGCCGTGCCATCGGACACTGAATGGCGATTGTTTTTCATGATGATTCCACCTCAGACATCTCACTGCTTCGATGTATATCTCTTTACAGTAATTCCAAATTTCATTATCGAG